CACCAAGGCAGAGCCAACCCGCTGGCGCCAGGACCTGAGGGAGGCAGGGGCTCGTGTGCAGCAGGGAATGGGGGCAGGTTGGAATACATAATAACTGGCACAGCTCAGCGTCCCACGTTGTGCACACTGCCAGGAGCAGCCCGGGGCTCACCGTGACCTGCTGACTCCATGGTCAACACCATAGTCCTTGGTTACACGGTGTCGGTCACCACTGGTTCGAATGGCAGCCAGTCTCCTTCAGGTGGAGACAAGCAAGGGCTGGGAGGAGGTAGTGGTGGGCTGGGGGGAGCAGGGGTCCCAGCAAGGGGAGGCAGGTACAGAGGGGAGGAACTGGGCTGCACAGGTGCAGAGCTAAGCAGGAGGGAGGGCGCAGGAAGGTAGAGGGAATGCCAGCTGGGGCCCAGCCAGCCTGGGAGAGGTGGGGCCGTACTGGTCTGTGAGTGGTGAAGAGGTTCTTGTGCCATGGGGGTGCCCACAGCATTTCCCAGGGCCTGACTGGATCCCCTGGGCAGTGCCCAATTCTCTGGCACGGTGGGAGCCATCCCCCTGGTTTGATCGGGCATGTCAGCTGCTGCTCCCACTGGGGAGCTGCATGGCTGGCACTTCAGGGAGCAGGGCCCCCACGAGCTGCGGGTGTCAGAGTGGTACTGACTGCTTCGTTCCTGCTTGTGCCGCAGCTTCTATCTGAGCGAGATCATACTGGCCCTGGGCCACCTGCACTGCAATGGCATCATCTACCGGGACCTGAAGCCGGAAAATATCATGTTGAACAGCCAAGGTATGGAGCCCGGGGGCAGCGGGGTTCGATGCGGGGTGCAGAGAGCCCTGGCTGAGGAGGTCTGACCCATGGGGTCTTGTCTCCCTCAGGGCACATCAAGCTGACAGACTTCGGACTGTGCAAGGAGTCGATCCATGAGGGAGCCGTCACTCACACCTTCTGTGGGACCATTGAGTACATGTAGGTGCCCCAGAGACACCCACCTCCCCTCGCACTGCTTGCCTGTGGGCCCTGGCCGCAGAGACACCCACCTCCCCTCACACTGCTCCCCCATGCGACCTGGCCCCAGAGACATCCCCTCTCCCCTCACGCTGCTCCCCTGGGGGGCCTTGGGGTGGTCAGTGGCTGGCCCAGCAGCTCAGGGTGTCTGTGCCGCCCCTAGGGCTCCAGAGATCCTGATGCGGAGCGGACACAACCGGGCTGTGGACTGGTGGAGCCTCGGGGCCTTGATGTACGACATGCTCACTGGATCGGCAAGTCCTGCTCGTGCTGTTAACGTGGGGGTGGGGGGGCCGGAGCCACAGGCTGAGTGTTTCCCCTTTCCCCAGGTACAGTTCTGGGCCTGGCTGTTGCTCTGTCCCATGAGCCTTTGCATCAAACGGCACCTTCCCTCACCCCAGCGCGATCCCTAACTCTGCACCCTCTGCCCCAGCCCAGACCCTTGTTCTGCGCCAGGTTCAGCGCCCCTTGTGCCCCTCCCCACAATGCTGAGCCATGCCTCTCCCCCAGCATGGCCCCCTTTTGCTGGTGCTCACACCTTGCCCCGCCCCCGTGCTCAACCCCCTTTGTGCTTCCTTTGTAGCCGCCCTTCACGGCTGAGAACCGGAAGAAAACCATCGACAAGATCCTCAAGGGGAAGCTGGTGCTGCCGCCTTACCTGACCCCCGACGCCCGGGATCTACTCAAGAAGGTACTGCTTGCATGCCCTCTCCCTGCCCCCCCAACTAGGATACCGCCTCACGTTCCTGACCTGTGCGACTCCCCCCAGTAGGTTACCAGCACCTGCCCCTGTCTGACACTGTTGCCATCTCCTTCACTTCCGCTCTTCAAAGCTGCTGACCCATCAGCCCCAGAACCAACCTGATCTTGGATCAGGGCTTTTGTATGGGTCTCACCAAAATAGTTGCCACTAGATGTGGAATCAGGATGGGGGCAGAGGGGGAACCCCCCACGTCCCATGTCCGCCAGGCTGTTTCCCCTGAGGGCCCCCTGACTCCGTTCTCTCTTTTCAGTTCCTCAAGAGAAACCCCAGCCAGAGGATTGGGGGCGGGACGGGCGATGCAGCTGATGTGCAGGTAGGTAGGTGGGAGGGAAGGGGCAGTATGCAGCGCTCTGAAGGGGGGATTTTCTCCCCTAGCTGCACCCATGGGCACACTGGAGTCAGTGGCAGGAGGCGGCTCCCTTCCCTGTGCCATGGCTCTGGGCAGGGGGTGGAGCCTCTTCTCCACATGGGCACAGGCTTGTGCCCAGCCTTGCCATGGCCTTCCTGGGCCCAGGACTCCCCGCACCACAGGGCGTCTGCATGGGGAGCCCAGGGGAGGGCACAGGCCTGAGCTGGGCAGGTACCCATGCTGGGCAAGGGGGAGGAGGGGGCAGCTGCTGGGCTTCTGACCTCCTGCCTGTGTGTCTGTCCCTACAGAAGCAGCCGTTTTTCCGCCAAGTCAACTGGGATGAACTGCTGGCACGCAAGCTGGACCCACCCTTCAGACCCTGCCTGGTACTGCCCCTGCCCCCGCCCCCAGCCACCCCCCAATGGCAGGAGAGAGCCAGCCCATTGCTCCCTGCTTGCCTTGCCCAGCTCAGCCTGGGCTGAGCTCAGAACAGGCCTGCCTTGCTCTCTCCCACATGGCAATAGATGTCTCACCCCTAGGGGGCCTCGCAGCTCTCAGCACCCTCCCCCGGGTGGCAGTGCAGAGCACTCGCACTTAGGGCTCCTTGCAGCCCAGCCCTCCCGGTATTGGGGGAGGGAGACAGTGTTGGAGAATGGGACCCAGATGTCCAGGACAGCTGTGCAGGGCGCTCAGCCCCCAGGAGGCCCTGCAGCTCCCAGCCCCCTGGGGGAGGAAAACCTGGATGGCAAATGGGAAGCCAGATCCTTTATGTGGCAAGCCTGGTTGCCATCCTCCCCTGCTGGTGGATGGCGCTGATGCCAGGCTGCCCCTCCTGTTCTGGGCCGACCCCTCTTTGTCCCCCTCCCTCCTGCCTTGCAGCAATCGGATGATGACGTCAGCCAGTTCGACACCCGCTTCACTCGTCAGACACCCGTGGATAGCCCTGACGATGTCTCCATTAGTGAGAGTGCCAACCAGGCCTTCCTGGTAAGGATTCCCAGCATGGGGTGCTGTCACAGCTGGGAGGGGGTGGAGCTAGCACTGCCCAGCCCCACCCTCCCCAGCAGGGGGCCCTCTGACACCTGGGAGGGGGTGGAGCTTGCACTGTGGCATCCCTGCTGCTCTGACCTCTGTCCTCTCTGCAGGGCTTCACCTATGTGGCCCCATCGGTGCTGGAGAGCATTAAGGAGGGCTTCTCCTTCCAGCCAAAGGTGCGCTCCCCTCGCCGGCTCAACAGCAGCCCCAGAACGCCCGTCAGGTACGACTAGGGGCACCTCCAAAGGAGATGACCAACAGGCAGGGCTCCTTTCCCCTCTAGGGGGCACTGGCTCCGATCCGGCACCAGGCTGGGGGAATTGGTTGACTCAGGGGGATGGGGAGTGGGATATGAGGCCTTTCCTCTCTAGGGGGCAGTGGCTCTAGCATTCCCTTCCTGGGATTTCTCAACAGTAGATACCCCTCTCTCTGTATGGTGTTGCCATGTGGAGCTGCGGATCTGGGTGGGCAGGGAGGCAGTGCCAAGGCGTGGGGTTATTAACAGGGTTCCCGTGGAGGGGTTGGGATGGGGGCTGTGGATTGGGGCTTGGGGGAGTTGAGTGCCAAGGCCTGGGGCTGTTGATTGCAGGGTTTCACTCCCAGTTTCCTTCTTGCTTTCAGCCCGTTGAAGTTCTCTCCCTTCGAGGCCTTCAAACCCAGCCTGGCGGTGGAGCCCATGGAGCTAGGGCTGCCGCCCCCACCAGAGGGCACAGCCCCCCTGCCCATCAAGACGCCGCCGGGCACCAAGAAGCAGAAGGGGGGCCGGGGCCGGGTGGCAAGGTAGCTTGAGGCAGGCATGGTGCCCCTGCCTGGGCAGGAGACTCAGCTTGGGCCGGCGGGAAACTCCCTGTGGAGGTGCCCAGCCTGTCGGTGACCCATGGGGTGGACATAGCCCCCTGACAGCTGAGTGGGGCTGGGGGGTGTCGGGGGCCCCCAGCCGGGATGGACTCAGGAGGAGATGCTTTGTCAGGGCTGCAATTCCAGCAGGTGGGGCAGCCCCGGCTGGGGAGGGCAGGGGGTGCTGAGCCCCCGGGCTGCAGCTCCCACCAACGGGGCTTTTAACCCTTCCTTGGTGCTCTGTTTTTATTGCTACAAATCATCTTTCGGGTTCGAGGGGCTGCGCAGGGCGGTGTTTGTGTGTGTGTGTGTGTGTGTGTGTGTTAGCGCTAGAGGAGAGCAGAGCGTGGGGGGTAGAGCATGGCAGGGGCGTTGTCGGGGGGTGTCAGTGTGTGCTGGGGAGGGAGCAGAGCATGTCTGGGGGGCCTGTGTGAAGAAGGGCATCATGCAGGGTATGTGGTGGGGGTTCAGCCCCAGGGGTTGGGGGGGGCAAAGCCTGGAGAGGCATGGTGTGGGGGGGACAGTGGGGGTACTGAGTATTGGGGAAATGACCACACTTTGTCTCCTCTGGGTGGGAGGTTTGCTGGCTTGTCTGCTGTACTCCGTGTCACCTTGTGACATGTGGGGGGGGCAGACAGCCCCTCTCTGTGGCTGGGTCTGTGCCAATTAAAGCCTGGATATGGCTGTGCTGTGGCCCTCCCTTCTTGTTGCTGGGGGGAGGGGAGGTAGTTTGCCACCACCCCCTTGCCAGCTGCTCCATGGTGTTTGGGGGGAGGGGTGTCACTCCAGCTGGTGGGCAGCCAGTTGGGGGAATTGCCCAATGGGGAAGCCTCATACTCTGCTCCCATCATGTTCTAGGGCAGGAGGGCCTGGAGAGCCTTCCTTAAGGCCAGAAGGCTGGGGTCACCCTCCCTTCCCCTTCTTCCAGCGGTGTGGTTCACAGCCGGTTCTGCCCCTCCTATGCAGCCCCGCCCCCAGCATTCCCCTCTGGGGTAAATGAAGCTGCAGAGTGTGACAGGTTATGAGCAATGCTGCCCCTTTATTGGTGCCTGTAGCGGTGCCTGTGGGCTAATCAGCAGCTCCCCAGTGGGAGTGGAGCCACGCCCTCATGTTATGGTGTCACACCCCATATCCTGGTGCAGGCAGTGGGGGTGGGGGAGGAGGAATGCTAGAGTCAATGCAGAGTCTGGGGGGAAGGGGGCGCTCCCTGCTCTGCTTGGGCTGGCTCTCCTGGTGTGTGTGTGGGGGGAGAGGTGGGGTGCAGGGGGCCCCATGCAGCCCCATGGCGAGGGGTGGAGAGCTCTGCAGGGAGGGGTGGGGTGTGGGGAGCAGTTCATCCCAGCTCCTTGCGGGGGGGCTGGGAGCAGTTGTTCACCTGCAGTTGCTCCCCAGTGAGCAAGTGGGGGGCTACATTTCCCCCCCTGTAGTCTGTGTCCTTCCCTCAGCTCCCCTAGAGGGCAGTGACATGCTGGCGGCTGCCTCCCTCCGCGGTGCTGTCCTCCCAGGCAGCTGTCCCGGAGAAGGAGTGCAGGTCGCTGAGCAGGCCCCCGGCGCTGGCACCCTCTGCCTCCCCTCCCTCTTCCAGGGCTCCCTCAGGGGCATCGCGGGGCAGGGTCCCCTCTGGCACAGCAGTGCCCTCCTCCTCGCTCTGCTGTTCCTGCCCTCCTCCACCTTCCTCCTCATCCCGCTGAAGGGTCTCCTTGTCCTCCTCCTCCTCCTCCTCGTCCTCATCCTCGTCGTCGTCCTTGCCTTGCCAGTGCCTCTCAGGGGGCACCTGCCCTTGCAGCTCACGCCAGCGCCTGGCCAGGGCTCCCAGCAGGCGGTGTGGCTGGCACAGGTGGCGTGGGTGATACCTGCCGTCTGAATCATGGCTCAGCTTGCGCCAGGCCAGGGCCAGTACCAGGAGCAGCAGCAGGAGCAGGAAGACCAGGAAGACCACAGCCACGGAGTTGTTGTCTGGATTGGAGTCTGAGCCCAGCGCAGCTCCCGGAAGCATCAGGAGTGCCAGCCCTGCAGAGAGCATCCCCCATGGGGCACGGAGAGCGGAGTGCTGGGGGAGGAGGGAAAGGGGACGAGGTTAATGACTGCCTGCAGCTGTGCCAGGCTTGTGGGCATGCCGGGGACCTTGGCACTGCATGGATACCCCTTCCCCATGCTCAACACAATAGCTTTGTGTTGCTGTAACACAGCATCCTGGACCCCATATTCACCACTGGGATATTGTGATATGTTTTGTGCAAAGTACACCTTGCGAGGTATCATTGTTCCATTGAACATTGCCATTCGGTTGGATTGTCTGTACTGTCATGGCACGTGGAGTTATGAAGTATTGCTATATGTTTGGTACTGAATATGTGGTAAGTGGGACATGTGCACAGTCAGCCTTTCAGTGGTAACAAAGGAGCAACTGACAAGACAGATTTACATCAGGCCACGAAGCCATGTCTGGCTGGTCCTGTCAAGAATTCACTCTCAGAGAGGGCACATATGCGATGGGGGCTGTCTAACCTCCATGTCACAGCAAGGATCTTTCTAGCCCCTGAGGGTTGATGGCATCACTACTTGGCCTCTCTCCTCCCACATGTCAGCACTTGGAAGATCATTTTGAAAGCAAAGTCTTTGAACCGGGGAGATTGGTCCCAGGCTGGGAAGCAAATTCTCCCAGTGTAATAAGAACTGTTAACTGCCTGAAACATCCAGTGGGGTGTGAATTTAGACTGAGTTTTTTTTATTTCTTATATAACTAACTTTGATTTCTATGCCTGCTTATAATCACTTAAATCTTATCTTTCTGTAGTAAATAAATCTGTTTTAGATTTTTCCTAAAACTGTGTTTTCGGTTGAAGTGCTGGGGAAATCTCAGGTTAACAAGGGCTGGTGCATATCCACTATCCTTTGCCACTCCAACAAACTAATTAATGGGCTTGCACTGTCCACGGAAGTCTTGAGCTGGGTAAGATGCTATATTTCTGAGGTGCAAGCTGGGGACTAGGGTGATTTGTACAATTCATGAGTGACTTAGCGAGTATTCATGCAATTTAGCTGGATGTAGGTCTCCACATGCTGTTGGCTGAGTGATCACAGTAGCTGGAGGGGTTTGCTGCTTGTCACTGGCATAGCCTTGTGAGAAACAGCTCAGGTTATAGAGTTAAGGGGGCACAGTGGTCCCAAAGTTCCAGGTTGTACCCCAGGAATCCTGTCTCAGTGGCACAATGAGCAGGATGAAATGCATGGCTTGTTTTGACCGAGATTTGCAATTCTTACTTAAAATCTCTACACCAGTGTAAGACTTTAAGTGGGCTGCCTCAATGCAGTCAAGAAAGAATTACAAGTTTAATTATTTTGTGTTTGCATATTTTTGGGAAAGGGAAATAGGAGCAGAAAGGCATAAGAAGGAGTGAGTGACACAGTTGCCAGGTTAGAGCTGTACAGACTGCAGGTAGCAGAAAAAGAGAGAAACAGCATCAGTTGAAAATGAAAGAACGAGAGATAAAGGAGAGGAGGGGGGGGGAAGGGCTGCCAGAGAGGAGACAGCACATCAAGTGCCTCTAGAGCTGAAAATCAAGGACCCTGAGGAAGGAGAGAGATTGAAAACACCAACTGGACTTGCTAGAAAAGCAAAACCAGAACCATCTCACCCCACTGATTCCCAGCTCTCCAAAAATCCACAAACAGGAGAATTATGTCCTTCACATAAGGAGATGGGTGATATCACAGAATATTTTACTACTTTTGAGAGGCTGTGTGCAGCTTATGTGATTCCTGATGACAAAGTCCCCTCCCTGATTGCAAAGTTAACTGGTAAAGTTCTTACTATTCTCCAGTGAAATGCCAATTCAGGATGCTTTAGCTTACTGTAAATTAAAAAAAAACTGTTTTGAAACGATTTCAGATTACCCCTGAAACAGATAGGGTGACATTTAGAAATCTTAAGAGAAATGCTGATCTGAGTAATGGGGAATATGTAAACAGGATGAAAGATCGAATGGGAAAATGGATGAGGGAGAAAAGTTTTGAACAAATGTTTGACCTTGTTGCTCAGGAGCATTTCCTAAGCATATATAAAGATGATGTAAAACTAGGGTGACCAGATGCAATTTGTCTCACTGGCATCACTCATTATTATTTTTTTTTTTTGCTCCGCCGGCAGTACTCGGGGTTGGTTTTTTTTTGCTCCCCCCCCGGTGTCCCGATATTTTCTTCCTCTCATCTGGTCACCCTATGTAAAACAGTGTCTATGGGATAAAAATGTTAAAAACTGTAGATGAGAAGGCATCTCTACCTGATGGCTTTGAGCAGACCCAGGCATCTGAGAGAAAGTCACAGAAGGGGGGGGGGGGGGGGTAAACCTTGGTGGGAAAGGAGAATCCCATTTTGCCCCTGGGAAGAAAGAGGGAGGCTGGGCACTCACCATCCCAAACCTCCTGTGAAAATAGAAGAGCCCAAAAGGTGCTATCATAGTAATTCCACTGATCACCTGAGAAATAAGTGCCCTGTGCTGGGAGGAAGAAGGCAACAAGTAGCCCATGTTAATGTTGCTGTCCTCAGCACAGGATCCTCTGAGGCACCTGACACTTCTTATATTGATTTTGTGGGATTGGCCTCCGAAGAAGCAGACATGGAACTCATAAAGGTTGTCAAAATTAATGGCAGGGAAAATTTAGGATGGGAAGGTACAGGTGCAGAGATTTCTGCGGTTAAGTAGAATGTAATTCAAGAAGGTAACACATTGCCAGGACAGATGGCAGAGCTTTTATTAGTAGGAGGTTTCCAGAGTCTTGTGCCTTTGGCCATAATGCACAGTGAAACTGATGGGTTAGAAAGTGAATTAAAGGTGGGAGTAGTGGATGATATCCCCATTGACATGTTTATTGGGAATGATTTTTTCCCTATAGCTCAGATTGTTGTAGCCTGCAGCAAGAAATGGTTTGCATATTGGCCTGCTAAACCCAGGGTTGAGAGTTCAATCCTTGAGGGGGGTCATTTAGGGATCTGGGGCAAAAATCTGTTTGGGGATTGGTCCTGCTTTGAGCAGGGGGTTGGACTAGATGACCTCCTGGGGTCCCTTCCAGTCTATGAATATTTTGCTGGGACACCAGAGGGAAAGGGTAAAATCCCAGAAACTGCTGAAGGAAAGGGAGAAAATCTCATTGATTCCTCTGCAGCAAAGGGAAGTAATATGATTCCAGGTGTGGAGGGAGGGGGGGATTGAGACCAGCTCCTATACCACAGCTGAAGTTAGCACCTCTTTAGGAAGAGAGAGGGGTGGCTCAGTGGTTTGAGCATTGGCCTGCTAAACCGAGGTTTGTGAGTTCAATCTATGAGGGGGCCATTTAGGGAACTGGGGGAAAAATCTGT